GTTTCAAATTTTAACTGAGAAGAAGAAAATGAGTGGACGATCAGTCAACATTTATCGTCGCTCGATCACTTCTGAATCTGATGATACATAAGACCTTGGCAATAGGAATGAATTTAGAAATAACATTTTGACAAGTTCAAATAACTTTAATACTACAACTCAAAACAAGACGCTTTATAACAAAATGGCAGTAAAGATTATCAAGATGAAGCACATGAGTGGTCAAAAAGAAATGCGGTTGAACTGTAAATGAGTTCCGAAAAATAACGTCAAAACGACGTCGGTAACATTTTTGCCGTGCGGCGAAAGAAAAACCCACATTGTCTTTATCTTAATATTTTAAAAAGTATTCATATAACTGAATGAAATTTTATGACAAAATTCAAAATAAATAGAGGTATTAGAATGTAAAATTCTGTTGATAACATTCGATTATTGGAGATTTTATAGCAGTTGTGACATAACCTTTAAATCAACCTTCGTATGTGTGATTGCACCCGAACAAGATCTTTATGATGTAACAAAATTGGTTTGTGGAGATATGACCAACAAAAATGAGTCCGTTACTGTTCCATATTCGTGTATATAGTCTGTACTTTAAATGCAGATGATACGCTGACCCATATTTAACACAAAATGATAGAATCGGATTATATTTCATTACAAATCCAAGCCAATTATGGGTAATTAGGCGGAAACTTGATAATTAATAAAATTCTATTTATATGACAACTAGCTCATAACCTTGGGTGTTGACTATCAATTCAACTGATAAAGGAGGACATTTAAAAAATTACAGGTCATAAATGTTTCATGCAGATACGTGGGGAAAATAGTCCATAATTACTCTGATGACCCCCAGTTTTGTTATCAATGTAATGAGACCTTCTAAATATGTCCCCAATAAAAATCTTACTATGCAATGCATCGACCATGTGCCAGTGACGTCACACTGATGATACAGCAATTTAGTTAAACTGAAAATGGTTCCAAAATATTCGATAGGAAAATAATCATAACCCCTCTTAATTCCAATTATATAAATCATATCATCAAGCTTTACAAATAATTCCTTGCTTCCTTTTTTTCTTACATAAAAAAATGCCAAACAAATACAAAAATTGCAAAACAAATATATTAAAAATATTGAAATCGTGAGCAATTCGCAAATTTACTTACAGAATCCATGATTTGTATAACTGGCCAACATGTTCCCTGGTATTTATACAGTTTCAAACGCAAGAAATAACGTGTATGTTATGAAAATGTAATATCAAGCTTTTATGAGAAGGTATTCGGCGCCAGAATCAATGTAATATTTTTTTCATATCTTACGATATTGTAAATATTTCCCTTTGGAACTCTGCATTTCATCTATTCTTATCAAATTCCTTTTTTTTTTTTTTTTTTTTACATTTATGATAGTTTTACACTTACTAACATTCTGTGAATTATTCCAGCATGATTAACAGGCAATAAATACACATGCACGAGAGTAAAAATGGAATTTTATTAAGATTAGATGAAATTCAGAGTTCCAAGGGGGATTTTTCACTCATATGGAGACGCCACCACTTGCCGGTGAAGGGTTGAACATTTTGATCTATACTCGGCACTCAGGGCCATTGAGCAGTGAGGGATCTTTTTCGTGCCAACAGGACCTCGATTTATACGTTCTTTTCCGAAGGACCGGTCTCCACGTCCCACAGTGGATTCGAACCCGCGACGCAAGGATCACTTCCATACTCCGCGACTCTAGAGCAGACACTCTAACAACTGCGCCACGAGGGCGACTGCACTAATGGTATTGAGCGTTTTACTCCATGTGGTGGTCGGGATAAAAACCTCACAGACTCGATCTCTGTGAGACTCACAGAGTCTCTGAGGGGGACCTTGTCAAATTTTCTAGAGATGTCAAGTAGAACTATATCTACGTGGGTTGATCCAAAAGTAATATCACACACTGCTTTAAATTTTTTAACAATCGAATGGTATCAACAAATTCAGATATATGTAGTACTTTTTAAAATATTAAAATAAACGCAACGTCGGGTCTCGTCAATCGCCGCACGGCAAAGATGTTCTCGGCGTCGTTATGAAGTTTCTCTTCGGCACTCATTTTAAGTTCAACTGCAACTGAGATCTACGCTAAAAGAATGAATTTTAAAAATAACATTTAGACAATGTTCAAATAATTTCAATACAACTCAAAACAAAACAATTTATAACAAAATAAGTGCCGAAAAATAACGTCAAAGGACGTCGGTAACATTCTTGTGTGGAAAATCATCAAATTCTGAGAACCATCATATATCTGACCTACATGCCTATTTTGCATGATTTTACACAGACCTGTACTTAATATATTTAAAAAAAAGTACTGCATAAAAATTAAAATAGATAGGGGAATTGGTATGCAATTTTTTGTTGTTGTGACATTATTTTTGGAACAGCTCTCGTGCCCGTCTTCACACGCTCAAAGTGCGAGCTATGGTGTCTATGGTGATGGCCCGTTGGGTCTCGCAGGAGCGTTCTGATCTGAAGCTATGTTGACAGTCATTGAGTATAGTAAGGCGGTTGAAATGATCCGCTATCTAGCTATGGATTATATATTCTTATATCTTTTAAATATCTTTAATATCTTTCAAAAGATTGATGTTAAGAAAGCTGGAAGGTAATTCGAGGCCTGGAGTTTGTCACCATTCTTGAAAAAATGGGACGATTGAGGCTGACTGCCAGTCGTCTGGTATCTAAGAAAAGCTGCAATATCTTGCTTACAGTTGGTGCTTTGTGGTCTACATACGCTTGTAAAACTCTTGCCGTGTAAACCGTCTGGACCCGTAGCCTTATGGAGGTTGATATTCCCCAGAGCTTCTGGACTCCAGTAATACTGACAGAATCGGGGCTATATCAGGGAATGGGCTGTGGCCTTTGTCAGGAATATTTGTTTTGTCCTTCCATGTATACACTAAGTGGAATTGCTGATTCAGTATCTCTGCCTTTGATTCTGTGTCATTGTAGAGGAGTCAATTGGACTTTCAAAGGGGAGAAACTCCTTGAGCGTCCTAGCGTTTGTTCTTTATGTAAGACCAGAAACACCTGCTGTTTTCTGTAGCTCCCTACATACCGTTTCATCTATGTATACATCATGGGTTTTCCTTAATTCGCGTTGGGCCTTTGCCATGGTCGGAAAAGGTATGGGGACACCAGTTCACTTTAACAATGAAGATTATAAATATTTAAAATTATTAAATTTAACTAAAAAATATTAAATATATGATTTCAGTTAGGCGTAATCCTCATGAGAAACCGTGGCAACTGTTTACCTTGTGAAGCCATGGTCTCGTCGATAGGCTTGGTCATATGTTTATAAAAATACCGAATATCTTTCAAAGTTTAGTTTGAAAATTATTAAGATACGCGTCGCCCGCGTGGCGCACTGGTTAGAGCGTCTGCTCTAGAGTCGTGGAATAAGGAGTTGATCCTTACGTCGCGGGTTCGAATCCCACTGTGGGACGTGGAGACCGGTCCTTCGTATGAGACCGTTTAAACCGAGGTCCCGTGTCGCAGTAGGTGCTGGCACGAAAAAGATCCCTCACTGCTCAATGGCCGTAAGCGCCGAGTATAGGACAAAATTTGCAGCTTTCCACCGGCAAGTGGTGGCGTCTCCATATGAGTGAAAAATTCTCGAGAGGGACGTTAAACAACATGCAAACAAAAAACTAAGATACGCCTACAGGGAAAAAAAGGAAAAACACTGTTATTTAAATTCTACGCAGCTGACATAAAATATCAAGTTTACAAAACGCCGTTGTTTACATGTTTAAAAGGTAATTAAATGACTCTATAAACCTGCATGACATGTATATTTTAAAATTATATTTGATTTAATAAAGCAAAAACATTGCTTTGTGTCATATATTATATATTGAAACGCACTGATGAAAGTACTATCATTACATGGAGATATTATTGCGCCTTGTGATTAGACCATCTAATGACGTATGACTTTTGGAAAACTACAGAGATGAAGTTATTTGCTCTCTGCATGTTTATATTACAGAGAGATACCATAAATGTATATACTATGTATTATATTTACATTTGCTGTCTTTTAACTAAACCAACTATGAAATTCATTTGAATGGCATTTTTGTGTATATATACATGGAGAAACTCGCGCTAAAATGACGTCACCATGCGGCTTCATTGACGTTGTTGAAAATAAAACGATACAGGGCAGCGATAAGTTCAAACCTTAGTCTATTTTTGCTGCTCTTAAACTTGTAATATGTCAATATAAGGTTTTTTTTAAATTAAGTTTTGTGTGAGCTATTGTTGTATAAACCACACAGACTTGCACATAGGCATATTTTTCATGATGCTCTAGCGCGCTTCATGAAATATGCCTACGTGAAAAGTCTGTGTGATTTACACACCAATAAATCACATAAATTTAAAATACATGTATTTATCCATCGAGTTGAGTGTGTTTAATCTTCGAGTCACTTCGGGCCCTGATGGGGATTCCGACACGTTAGTGAAAAAAAAAGGATTCCAGAAAAAGTACAATACTCGTGAGAAACTTATCTAATGCTTATTCGAACCCCTGGCTCTCAAAGAAACTTACTAATTAGACGAATGCAGAAGTTTCCATCTTCAATGAAATTCTGCACATGATGTTAATACAGCACCGTTTTCAGGTGTATCTTTAACATGTTTGATACAAATCTATATCTTCTGTCATGTGGTAAATTTTGAATTTACCGGGTGGCAGTAAATACAAAATTTACGACATGACACAGTTGTCATGTTGTAAATTTTGTATTTACTGCCACCCGGTAAATTCAAAATTTACAACATGACATTTCAGTCTAGCAATTATGTTTCTTCCATTTTGACTATCAGTACTGCACAACATTCAGTTATAACAACATGATGCACATCTACAGTAGGGAAATAAATGATAGGATATAGATCGTAATTAGACGCATACTTACTGGAGGAAGGTTCCAAAATAGTGGACATTGCGCAATCATTTTCCTTCAATGTCTGGCGCAGTTCCTCGTCTACCTGCGAAAGCAACATAAATTTTTACATTATAACCGCCATGACACATCGAAAAACGTCTACCTTTTTATGAAATTGTACCTAGGTATCATTGCCCTTCGTTTCATCAGACTTGCTCAGCCATGAACAAGAAATTATAGTGTTCTATTTTGTTACTTCTAACCGCTGTTGTGCACTGACTGAGGTACACGTCAATGTGCTATAGCTGTTTACAAGATCTGAATAGGAGACAAAGATGTATATCGTATAAAATAACTACCTTAATGAACAAAAGAGCCTTTTAATCAAATACCCTATAACCATACCTTGAGCACTTGTCAGAGGCGGATCATGAAATTCTGGTGAATCATAGAGCATTTATCTCTGTTTCATTGCTACGTTTTACAAAATAAACAACTAAGTTACACATCATTTCTCTTATTCTTCATGAATTGTCGTTAAGCAATTGTATACCAATACCAGGTATATTTATATACACAGTAACTGTTATACAAGAAACATTGCGTCCATTAGACTCTGTATCGCAGTTTTGCATTACCGGAAATTCTTATGAATATCGAAATATTTATACACAATTAACAAAAACTTTATGTTAATTTCCGAAACAATGTATAGCATTTCCGAAGTTTATAATTCTATTTTTTTCTCTCTCTCTCTTTAATCCTTCTTTGTTGCCTCTCGTTACGGGGAGATGAAATAAGATTTTGAGCAGGGCAGTTTTAATGAATTTAATTTATACAGTAATCTGCACTTTTTTAATTAAAAGATAGATATTTTAAAGTCAATTTAAAACTGTAATAAAGCATTGATAATCTTTAACATGAAAATTCATTAATCAGTTGCTTCAAAGAATAAGTACTTGTAGTGCAAAGTGGAATATAATGCTGAAAACGTCTCCGACATATAGTCACTGTATTTATGGAAACAGTAGCAAACTTCTGCCTCACCTGTGAGCCTCAACTGATATCTAAATTTGAATGTCTGATATTATTTCGGAAACGAAAGAAAATTAAATTCGGTAATGATAACCGATTCGTTTTCAATATGGCCTAATTACACAATTTGGCTGATGTAATGAGTAAGCACTGGCCATTTCTTCAAAGTGTTATCCCTTCCTAGATCAAGGATAGATACCAAAGAAAGTCATTCCTATGTGTCTCCCATAAGCAACACAAAAGCATAAAGTTGTTCAAACTGTTATTCAATTTGTTATTCTTGATCAAGAATTATTAATACCCCGAGAAACTAATAAAAAGAATAAAATAGGTGTTAGAAAAATGAACATTGCATCCATTGCAACGAAGGTGCCTTAAAAATGACGAGTTCGCATGATTTCCCTCATTTCAGACGAGCAAACTTAAAATCCCATGGGTTAAAATACACAGGATTTTGTGAAAAACCAGCTGCTCCATTATTGAGGGTATCACAAAACACAATGCTAAACAGATAAAAATCACCGCAAGCCTTATCGATTTTACAGACACAACGGGCTCTTAGCAGGGTAAAAGGTTTTAAAGTGAAGAAGACGCGTCACGAAAAAGAAAACAATGATGAGGGCAAGGTAAATTAGACTGACAGAAAGTCATGAGATTTTATAACTGAATGGAGACCATCATCATTAAAAAGCCCACAATATGAGGTTGCATCGGCAGTAGAATATATAGAGGATATTCAATGTTTTGTTGTTGGATATGGAATTCATTTCATGAGTGGGACAGGGTGTTTTTTTTTTTTGTTTTTTTTTTATATATATTTTCACGAGTGCGAACCACGAGTGAAAATATCAAAAAAATCCTGTCTTACGAGTGAAATAAATTCTATATCCAACTACAAATTAAATATATGGAGATAACGAAAGTGTATTCAAGCTCAAAGTCCATTCAAACAATACAAATCAGGAGCATAGCAAACACGGACCTCTAAAACATCAGAGGTAGAATAAGGTGCCAAGGATGAGTGAGCATCCCCTGCCGATCGGTCACACCCGCCGTGTGCACCTTGTCATGATCGGGAAATAACGGAAAAATCCATTGACAATTCAGTGGATAAATAATGGCCTAACAATTAGTATGAAAAACGCCAGTCAGCATTTGATTTAATGATAGATGTATTTGCTGACAAGGTTATTGTATCGACCATAGAACTTACGAAATGATGACTTTAAACGAGACTGTTGATATTCTTGTTTCATCAACTTGTTTATCAATAACTTACCTCGTTTTAGAAATTGTTCATACATACAGCATGCTCTTGCATATCGAATCAACTGAAAGATATAAACCTCATATGACATTGAATTTCGGTTTATTACATTTTCTTTGATTTCTCTTTGCATCTGTGTTTTCTAAACACAGAGTCATAGGCTGTGACGTCATAATTGAGCGGTTGAGACGTCATAACATTGTAACATTAATTTTAGCAATATATTTGGGAGGAAATTTACAGTTTTAGTCTCTGTCAAAATGGTTTAGTTATTATACCTTTCTTACGACAGGCCAGAAATCATTTCTACTTACTTTGATATCTTTTCACACTGTGATAGAATATCATTTTAGTATCCTTTCACACTGTGAAAGAATATCTCTTTTTATTCAACAAATAAATCACAGAATTCACTTGACATGTAATAAAGCCTACTTTTAAATAAAACTTAAAATTCATTTATAAAATTAGAAACTAGTGAAAACACCTCGTCCTTTAAAATCCGGAAAGAGCAACATAATTCACTATCGCACCATTGCACATCAACCATTGGGTACATGGCGCGATGACACGATGGAACATACGATGACGCGATGGTTCGATGACGATGATGCGATAATACAATAGCTAACATCGCCTCACCGTCATCGTACCATTGCCAACTTATCATAGTCGTCTCGCTATCGCACCATAACGCCATTCATCGCATTATCGCACCATCGACCAAAGCCTCGATTGTTTGCAAAAGTGAACTACTTGGCCCTGTCGTATTCCATACATCCTCAAGATATGAAATTTGGACATTACAGTCTCAGTAAGTTACAAGCATATGCAATTAAACATATATTTACAGGTGTGTATTTCAGAAATGGAGAATGTAATATTTTAAATCGATTAATTGAAAGGTTCTTACAGAATTCAAGCATTTAATTCACTGGACTCAGTAACTCAATAAAGAATTTTTGATTTGTTGTGTACATCGAGTATTGAAATATACGTTAGAACGCATGACCCCTTTCGACGAGTGAGATCCTTAGAGACCAGCGAGTAGAGTTTAATCAATACTCATAGTGTACAATCGATTAATAATATTTTCTATTTTACACAGATACATACGTCGTAGTAACGCCACATAAGAACAGAGTTTATTCTTTTTTTTCACCTTAAGGCAGTGAATGCAGATTGAAGCTCCCCAGATTGAGGGAGGCGTGACTACCTTTTAAAAATCAATTTTCATAAGAAAAATAAACAGCGACAATATGAATATAAATTATCCAGTCAATTTGTTTAAAGATATAATTGCATAAATGATACATTGGTCGTCTAAGGCTTTCTACTAGATAAAAGATTTAGAGTTTCTATGAGACAAAACTAAGTTGTTATGCAAATACTTATTGCATGGCATGTCTACATCACTCTTCATTCAATACTATTTTGGAATTATGTTCGATCTTTGCTATCGTTCTCGCCGCAAGATATCGAGAAATTTTTATAACAAGAGATTTCTTAATATATCTCTGAAGGATAGATTAGAAAAATATGTCAATATGACCTAATTACACAATTTTTGAAGATACAATGAATTTATAATGCACTTTACCCTGGGCTGGCGCATAATATCCATTCCGCTGACGTCACGAATAAAAATGTGTCACCTGATTTATTTGTAAACTGTAATACTGGCATCCATCAAGACTGGTTCCTCCAAATTCTTATCCATGAAATGCTTCTCAAATAACATTCCTGATAATTATTTCCGTGATGTTTAGAGAATGATTTATTGATAGGATTTCAAAAACAAATCGATGGCTACTACACACCACAGAAAGCTGTTGACAACTCTTCTTGATCACCCCTAAGGCTATAGTGTGCGTATTATTTCAGATCCCATTGGCCCTATCTCCTAAAACCATTGCTGGACACAGTGCATTAATATGCGTCAAGTTCAAGCTTATCCCCTTAACGATGGAAATTTCAATCCAAGTAAACAAAGATGTTGAACGCTGTAATGTAGCAAATGGTATAAGCGAGGTTCTTGTTCGATCGTCATTTGTTATTGTAAAATAAATGGGAACTTAACGTCAAGTGTTTCCAATAATTGTTGATTTCTGGAACTGAAAAGTATTTGCAATAATAAAAATGAATTTAAAAAAAACCCCTCTAATTTACAGTGGGTCACAAGTACTGGGACAAGACCCGTTATAAAAAAGAACTTACGACTAAGACCAAAAACCTTGGTGACTGTAAAATTATGAAATCTCAGTCCTTGTGAAAAATGGAGGCCATTTGCGCTGAAAGTACTTGTAAGACACAAGCCCATAGCAACGGTTTAAAAAAAAAGGGGGGGGGGCAACTTCCCAAAATTATCTGACAAGAAGAAAAAAACAAAACAAACAAAAGCTAATTTACGGTCCAAATCTTTGCCAGTGCTCGACCTTACAACATCAAAAAGTGGAAGGACCAACCAGCATCTAAAGGAAAGTTTAATATAGCAAAATACTATACTCAGAAAAAGGGGGGCGGCGTTAATGAAAAACAAATAATTAATTTGCAAAAACCTACTGAAGTACAAATCAAACAGCCTAAAATAAAATCAACAGACTCAATTGCAAAATTAAAGATACTCCATTACAAAACGAACTATCACCGATGCAAAACAAACAGTCATTAACTGATTTGATGCTAGATAGCGTGCAAAAAAGAACATTCATAATCTGAACGCTAGATGGTGTCCGAGTCAAAACCATAAGCATATTTATGTATCATTTGATTTTTTGGTAGCTATTGAGATTTATCTATGCACTGCTTATGAATTAGTATAATAATATGCATGTACATAAACATATTTTGTATAGTTTTAATTTAAAAATATTTACCATACTTTCATGTTAAATACTGAAATCTGATTGGTTTAGAAGCATTAATCAATTTTAAATATTATACTTTCAGGTAAATTACTTGAATTTGATTCGCCAAGAAACACTTACCCTATGAATGATGAAACCACGCCTTCCAGAGCGATAGAACTTAGCAACAGTCAACACAGCTTGACGACTGGTTATATTCCAAAAATATATTGACTGCACAGAATTATGCGCGCGTGCTTCACCTTTATTTTTATTTATATAAACATTCAGTATAATATATAAATACTGCATGAAGTTGAGGGTAACATTGAAAATTTTCACTCCAAGTAAACCATCGTCAACCGCGGCGCAGCCTATAAAAACCATTGTCAACCGAGAAACAGTAGAGGTTGACAATGGTTTTCGAGGGGTGCATGAAAAATTTCAATTTTACCCACAACTACCTGCAGTATTAATATATTATCAAATGAATGAATAATTCTTAGCACCCCGATTGACTGAGGTCGAACACTGTAGAAATAATACTACCTTATGTTCACCTGTACGTGACCTTCCATGTGACCATAAGGATTTATTTCTTCTACATTGAACTAAAAATAGATTATGACTTCCATACTGATAAATTAGTTATTAATCTATGAATAACTATAATGATAAACTTTGAAGAAATACCATGGGTAAATACACATTACTTTGCGAATTTAGAGACATTTTTGTGAGTATTTTCAGTTACTTCAGTTAATTTTCAAAACCTGAGGATCGGACTACCTTAACCCCTTGAGACATTTTACTAAATATAGGTGCTTGCATTTTGATATGATTAACTGAGGCCCAGTCTGACTAAAGCCAGCCCCTGCTATTTCACTTCGTTCGTAGGAATAGTAGGGGCTGGCTTTAGTCAGACTGAACTGAGGCCTTGCTGTTCTTGAGATACGCTTTTTCCTTCATATGACTATAATAGGCTTTGAACTTCTATTGCGGCTCCAACCTAACTCGTTGCTTACAATTTAATCAAATTTTGAGTCTATACTTTAGCAAATGCTAATATATCGAGTTGACCAATTGTGGATTTGTCGTTCTTTACTTTGGAACTCTTCAGAAGTTCTAGTACATGTACATGTATACCGGTCTCCTTAAAAGCAGGTGCAGCGGCGAAAGCAATTCATTATGACACGTTATACCATCTCTTGATTGATTGATTAAAAGGTAACAAATTGCAAAATAAAGCCTATATCTATATATAAACATTTAAAATGAAAGTCATTTCAGAAAATGGATTCATCAACTTTTCATTAAATGTGAATAAGTTACACAATACAGAGAAAAATAACAACTCACCATGCTAAAGGGTGCTATTTACATCGTTTGTGTGCTACAGGGAGCTCCAATTGAGAAGGTACGTGTACTGTGTATAAACGAGTCATGGTGTCATTTCAAGTCGTATTGATTTTCGAATTTTTACTTTTGAGTTTCATAACCTTTCCCTAAATAATACTTTCTAAACTTTTACATCATCAATTGCTATCAATTGTTTATTTACAAATATGCATTGAAATATAAACTGCTGCAAAGAGTAATTAAATGCTGAAATATAAACTTTCTGTAAACCTACAAGCCCTTATTTCCTAGGTTGTTCACTGATATCAAAATTAAAATTGCAGCAAAATGAAAAATGATCCGAGATGTTTTAAGAGTTCCATTTATAACTATGTTAAACCAATCTTCAATATTCTATGTTTATTTAAAAGCTAGTTCCATATCTCTCTATATTTTTTAAATACTAGTATTTTTTTTTCTAATCAATCATTTGTATTTTCATAATTTATATTCTTGTTACGGGCATATTTTAACATTTAACGTACGTAGTGATTTTAATATTTACATGTATATTGTCACGCATTCTACTGAATGTTCTTTCATGACACTTACATGTGGTTCTTTTTATCTGAATAAAATCAAACAGAAAAAAGGCAGAAACAACTCACTGAAAAAGGACGAAAATCAGATGTTTGCATAATACGTATAAATTATCAAGAAGAAATGTGAATGTAAAATTATTTCATAAAGAAAGCATCCTTTCTTAGCAGTCACACGTATTATTGCAGTGCTGCTGTACTTTATGCCTTCACTACGGATGTCATGACTAGATGCAACATCGACAAAAATCTTGGTTATTTATTAAGAGTATGCAAAACTTCGTGGAGAAAATTGATTTGAACTTTTAAAATTAATGATAGGCTTCTTCCCTCGCTTATTTCTTAATGCAAATTACTAATCAAGATTAAATTCAGCATTAAAATCAATGGAGGCAATTTAGTGCATCGTGAAAATTGTTTAGGCCAAAATAAAAAATACCTTTGTTTCCCCTAACGCGACCGACCCAATTAAAACGCGCCGACTGGAAAGTTTTTTTCATAAGATTATTCAAATATTTTTTTATATTTATTAACTTCTATAAAATAAAATTCCATCAAATCTGTTTTTTTATCAGAATGACTGATTTTGTTCTGTGATTTTCAAGCGTTTATTGGAAACAAAATAGCGCCTACAACATGTGGTCACGGAGGGTTAGTTCGTGTTTTAAAAGAAAGGCAACGTATCAACCTTATGCCTTTAGCATATTAGAATCCTGCACTCTTGAAACACTTTGTTTATAAAATATAATATCCAATGACTTACTGAAAGTGTTTGGGTTGTATTTACTAGCCTGTCTTAAAATTAAGGTACGTAGAGAGCATGCTTAGGCTCATATGTCCTCCTCATGATACCCCTCATGAGCAGACAAGGCGCCCACCTTGTGAAAACACCAATCATGATCAATTTCATTGCATTTTATTCAATTTGTGTTTTGATCTTATACACAATTCATCAATATTTCAATGTTTACTATATGGGACCATAGGAGTTGTAAATAAGTCTGCATATTTCATCCTAATGAATAGAATTCAAATGTCCTTTTTTTCATGCCTTTTAATCATGGGTTAAACTTCGTAACTTTGAAATTGTGTATGACATGTTATCATTTTTAGATATCGTTTGCCTCAATTAAATATTGTTAACATGGTTTTTCCAAATAGATTTGAAATTATGATACAAGCTTCCTGAGACGTCCGTGTATTTTTCTTTAATAAGGCCCTGGAAGATTGGTTGTTTCTTTGATTTGAATCCCTTTGATAATTGTTTGGACAACAACATTTATCTAAATATTTGTCTGGTGAAGGACTCCAAATTTAGACGTGTACGCGGCACTTTAGACCATGAGCAGTGAGGATTTTTTTCGTACCAGTATCTACTGCGTAACTGGACCTAAGTTTTTACTGTGCCATTCGAAGAACCGGTCTCAACGTCCCGCATTGGGATTTGAACCTGCAACTTAGAAATAGCTCCTTACTTCGAGACTCTTAAACGAAATGCTCTAGAAGCACTGCACAATTCGAAGGACTTGAAAAAGTACAAAGCAATGGAAGCTGATAGTAGGTATAAAAAAGTACTCTTGTGTCCAGTCTTTGCGTACCCGAGAATCTTTTAAAGAGATGTATTCGATTTCAACAAATTTAATCTGGTATGAGATATTTAGATTGAATAATAGTTGTGAATTAATTTACCTTAAATGTTGAGTTTAAACTGCATTTGTATGGTATTCTAGCTGTTTACAAATCACTTTCTTTTTGTACTTAACTTATTTACAAAGATATCATTCTATTAAATTTTAAGAATGTATTTTCAAAGCTGCTGTCAAAAAAAAAATTATTTGCCTACCTACCTACCCATCTTGAGATTTTAGGGTCGGGTTAGGGGAAACAAAGATATTTTTAATG